GTTGGAAGGTATAATGATAGGGTGTTGTGTGATGTGGTTCCAATGGAGGCAAGTCATATCCTAGGAAGACTATGGCAGTATGACACCAAAGCAATACATGATGGATTCACAAACAAATTTATTTTAGGCATAATGATCAGAAAATTATTCTCAAACTGTTATCTCCTAGAGAGGTTTATGAGGATCAAATAAAAATGAGAGAAAAGATAGAAGAGTGAAACACTTGAGAGAAAAAGTGAAACACTTAAAAAGAATAGAAAGAAGAAGAATGATACACTTGAGAGAAAGAGTGAAACACCTAAGAGAAAAATGAGTTGTTTAGCAAAAGAAAGTGACGTGAGAAGGATGTTGCTTACTCAGAAACCACTTTACTTGATGTACTGCAAAACTAATATTTTTGTTGCTGATAACTCAAATAAAATTATTGTTCCTCCTAATGTTGAATTTCTTTTGCAGGAATATAAAGATGTGCTCTCAAAGGAGGTTCCAAATGGATTGCCACCTTTAAGGGGAATTGAGCACTTCATTGATCTCATTCTTGGAGCTTCATTGCCTAACGAACCTACATATCGAAGTAATCCCCAAGAGACCAAATAAATTCAAAGGAAAGTTAAAAAATTTATGAGCAAAGGATGGGTACAAGAAAGCATGAGCCCCTATAATGTTCTAGCGATTTTAGTTCCTAAAAAAGACGAAACTTGGAGGATGTGCACTGACTGCAAGGCTATCAACAACATCATAATCAAGTATAGACATTTTATTCCCATGTTATATGATTTGCTAGATGAATTGGATGGTGCTTACATATTTTCTAAAATTGATTTGAAAAGTGGGTACCATCAAATTAGGATAAGGTAAGGGGATGAATGAAAAATTGTCTTTAAAACTAAGTATGGTTATATGAGTGACTAGTGATGCCCTTTGGGTTAACAAATGCCCTAAACACTTTCATGAGATTGATGAACCATGTTTCAAAGGAATTTTTAGACAAGTTTATTGTGGTATATTTTGATGACATTCTGATTTATAGCACTGACTTTGATTTGCATATTGAACATTTGAGTACTATCACAAATGTGCTCAGAGAAGAAAAATTATTTGCTAATCTTGAAAAATGTACCTTTTGCACTGATCATGTTGTATTTTTGGGATTTGTTGTGAATTCTAAGAGGGTACAAGTGGATGAGGAAAAGATTAGGGCCATCTAAGAGTGGCCTACACCTAAAATTATGAGTAAAGTGAGGAGCTTCCATGGACTAGCTAGTTTCTATAGGAGGTTTGTTAGGGACTTTAGCACCTTGGTGGCATCTCTTAGTGAGATAGTTAAAAGCATGTTAGGTTTAAATGGGTGAAAAACAAGAAAAGGTATTCTTTGAACTTAATCATAAACTAATTAATGCCCCCATTCTTGCATTATCAAATTTTGCAAAATCTTTTAAAATTGAATGTGATGCATCTAATGTGAGTATTGGGGTTGTTTTGATGCAAGAAGGTCATCCAATTGCTTATTTTAGTGAGAAATTAAATGAGGTTACTCTAAACTATTCCACTTATATAAGGAATTGTATGCCTTATTGCATGCTTTAAAAACTTGGCAACATTATCTTTTGCCAAAGGAATTTGTCATTCATAGTGATCATGAGTCCCTTAAATACTTAAAAGGATAAGGCAAGCTGAACAAAAGGCATGCCAAATGGGTTGAGTTCCTAGAACAGTTTCCATATGTCATAAAACATAAAAAGGGGAAAGGGAACACGGTTGCTGATGCATTATCTAGAAGGCATGCACTATTGTCCACTCTTGAAACTAGAACATTTGGACTTGAACCCTTAAAAGAAATGTATTTGCATGACATTGAATTTTCATAAATATACGCTATTTGTGAAAAGGGTTCCCAAAATGGATATTTTAGGCATAAAGATTTTGTATTTAAAGGAAAAAGATTGTGTGTGCCTAAATGTTCCATAAGAGATTTGTTAGTCAAAGTGGCACATTAGGGTGGATTGATAGGGCATTTTGGGGTGCAAAAGACCTTAGAAACATTGCATGAGCATTTTTATTGGCCCTATATGAAACGTGATGTGCATAAATACTATGATCGAGTACTACATTGTTTACAAAAGGGCAAAATCTAAAGTGAAGTCACATGGTTTATATCATCCTTTACAAGTTCCTGATTTTCCTTGGATTGACATATCAATGAACTTTGTTTTGGGATTGCCTAAAACCAAAAGTGGCAAGGATTCTACTTTTGTGGTGGTTGACTGGTTCTAAAAAATGGCACATTTTTGTACCATGCAAAAAGATCGATGATGCTTGCGATGTAGCTGACTTATTTTTCAGGGAAGTGGTGCGACTTCATGGACTACCCAGGAGCATTGTAAGTGATAGGGATACCAAATTCCTAAATCACTTTTGGAGAACATTGTGGGGTAAGCTTGGCATTAAATTACTTTTGTCTACTACTTGTCTCCTAGAAACTCATGCGCAAATTGAGGTAGTTAATAGAACTTTAGGTACTTTGCTAAGGATTATTTTAAGGAAAAATCTTAAGTCTTGGGAATAATGTTTGCCTCATGTAGAGTTTTCATATAATAAGTTTGTCTATAGCACAACTAGTTGTTCACCATTTGAAATTGTGTATGAACAACTAGATTTGTTGCCTATGCCTAACATTTTTGAATTTAAGCATAAGGATGCAAAGGCTAAAGTTGATTATGTGAGGAAGCTGTATGAGTGTGTGAAAGCCCAAACTAAAAAGAAAATTAAGAGTTAAGCTAAATAAGCCAACAAGGGCAGAAAGAAAGTTGTCTTTGAACATGGCGATTGGGTTTGGGTACATCTTTAACTTTTAGTTGGTTTAACAATTTTCTTATTATTGAAGTTTCACTTGCCATTTCTTGGGTTGAAGTCTTCCTTATTGCCAACCTCAACCCTAGATCTTGGAGAACACAACCCTCAACTTCTATAAAGTCAGAGCTTATAGTAATCCCACAATTGTGAAGCATAGGTTCAATGGCATAATTGCTAGTTTTAAGAGCGTCAAACAACACCCTCATCCTCATTCGCCTAGACTTATCCAATAATGAAGACCTTTGAAGAGTGGATAACACTTTTGTATAGCGTTTAAGGGATACAAAAGTGCAAAGCTCAATGGGGAAATAAGTTGATTGTTTTCGCTTTCCTACATTGATGCATGGAAGTTCAATGAGTAATAAAGATCTATCTTGCGATGATTAACAAAATAATCCAATACAATCACTTCCTTAGTGGCGTCATCACCATCTACTCCACCTTTTTTCTTCAATGTAAACATTTGTTTTTTGCAATGAAGTTCACTAAGCCTGGTGATTTTGAATTCTTGATTATATGGACTTGTTTTAATCCTCAAACTTTTTGTTGTCCTCTTGGCCTTTACCTAGTCGAGGGAATATGGATCTCTAATATTCTGATTGGAAATGAGAAAATCCACCACAAGCCTGGGGCTAATTATCATAGTGGTTGGCACATCTATGTTGAGAGATAAGCCATTTTGAGTTGTTCTAATACTATAATGAAATCCCCTACAACCAAGTACACCTCCTTCTACGTCAGCATAATTCTTAGCATCATTGTGAAAGAAAGATTGACGCATAAGCAAACAACCTTGTTTAGTAGCATGTTGGCTCAAAATCAAGCACTCTAATTGCTTCTTGAAAATTTTCTGATTACTTTCCTTATTGGTGCTTGTAGTAGCTTTCTTTATACATGTTCAAACCACCTTAATTGATTTACTATCATATTTTCCTCAATCTCAATGCTACACCAACAAGTGAAAAATTGACCCTTAAAATTAAGCTTGTTTGTACTAAGGAGTTGTTTAGTACACGAAAAGTTTTTACTTTTTAAAGAAGAAGAATGCTAGCAACATACTCTAAGACTCTAACACTCTTCTCTTAATATATTCTCTCTTATTATTTAAAATTTATTAAAAATTACAAAATCAGGAGAGAGATAGAAAGTCATTAAATAGGGTGAGACTTAACAACTTTTGTGTTTTCCAATAAATTTCAACCAATTAAATAATGTGTTCAAAAGAGTGTGTTAGAAAGTGTGGTTCTAGCATTTCTTTTATCAGGAATCTAAAGTTAAGAATGTTAGTTTTCATGTTTGGTTTGTTATTTTAAAAATAACATTCCTAGGAAACATTATTTCTCAGGAATGGTTTCTACATACTAGACTATCCTAACCTGTAATTGAGATATGTCATTCAACATACTATTTAAATTTAGCCTCTACACCCTTCATGTTATAGGTCGGTAGGCAAGTAGACTATTCCGACCTATAATCGAGATGTGTTATCTCGAGAGTTTTCATATAAAATTGCTTTTTGTATCAGATTTAAATTTTGTACTTAGAATAACTCGTTATTTCTTCACTAAAAACTTATATCACACATTAAATCCGATCTTTAATAATCATAATTGAGTATCAAAATACATTATCCAATAATAAGACGAGATTCCAAAAAAAAATCTTATGATTCTGAAGGTTCAAGAAAACATAATATCTAGATATAAAGTCACCATCCTATAAATAGGCAAAATATACTTTTAAATGTTTTAACTTTAAACAAGTTACTAAATTATCTATAATATATTTTTCAGATGGAAATAACTTTAAATATTCGTAAGATAGACTTCCTACTCTATGGCAAGAAAAAATTCAAATTAATGAGATATATAATAAAATTATATAACATAGTTAAATCCGACTCTCATTAATAATGGTGCAAAGTGAACCACCACACATACAAGTGGTCCACCCTATAATAATTATCTTTCTTATCTCTACCTCCATTTTTCTCATCCGGATTTACGTATATAACTTTTTTTTCCCAAATTTATTTCAATTTTCACTTTCTTGGAAATTGACACAACGTTAAGATATTACGAATAACTTGTTTTTGAAGGAGACTTGGAGTCAACTGATGCGACAGTGAAGAGACGGGTATTTGTATTTTCTCTTCAAACTACTCTCAACAGTCTATTTCCTCTGCAAATGTATGTTTCAGAACATCAATAAACGCAAAATGACCATTCATCCACTCCCTTCCATGCTTGTCATAGCAAACCTACTCTTCTTTTCGCACCAAATTTCCTCCGAAACTGACACGCTCACCCAGTTTCAGTCACTTCCCGATGGAACCAGAACCACCTTGGTATCCAAAGATGGAACCTTCGAGTTGGGTTTCTTCAGCCCAGGTAGTTCCACAAACCGCTACCTAGGAATCTGGTTCAAGAACATCCCACTAAAAACCGTCGTTTGGGTCGCCAACCGTGACAACCCTATCAACAACAACTCCACCAAGTTAACCATAGCCAAAGAAGGAAACCTGGCCCTCCTCACCGAAAACGACACCGTTCACTGGTCAACAAACGCAACAGCAAAAGCGATCAACATCAACGTTGTAGCACAACTCTTGGATTCAGGAAACTTGGTCCTAAGAGACGAGAAAGACAACTATTCTCAAAACTTGTTGTGGCAAAGCTTCGACCATCCTTCGGACACGCTTTTACCAGGAATGAAACTAGGATGGGAAGTAACAAAGGATGTTAATCTCAACAGGTACCTCACTGCATGGAACAACTGGGAAGACCCATCTTCGGGTCACTTCACTTATGGCTTCTCGAGAAGCACTATTCCCGAGAAGCAAATGTGGAACGGGTCATCATTGGTCTTCCGAAACGGTCCTTGGAATGGTATTCGATTCAGCGGCACACCCTCGTTGAAGCACCGCGCATTGTTCGGTCTTACTTACATGTACGACGGGGACGAGTGTTATTTCCAATTCTACCCCAAGGACAAGTCGTTGATTTCCAGAATCGTCCTCAACCAAACCCTATACGTTCTTCAGCGTTTCATTTGGGTCGAGGGAAGTCAAAAGTGGGAGTTGTACATGACTGTTCCAGGAGGATACTGTGACGGGTATAACCACTGTGGCTCCTTCGGGTACTGTGCCATGGTGGGTAAGTCTCCGCTGTGCGAGTGTTTGCATGGGTTTGAACCAAAATCGCCGCGGAATTGGGTTGCAAGGAATTGGAGTGAAGGGTGCGTGCGTAGTAGCAAAACATGGAGGTGTAGGGAGAAAAACAATGACGGTTTCGTCTTGTTTAGTAACATGAAGGTTCCGGACACAAACACGTCGTGGATTAATAGAAGTATGACAATAGAGGAATGTAAGGCCAAGTGTTGGGAAAATTGTTCGTGTACTGCGTATGCTAACTCAGACATCATTGGAAAGGGAAGTGGTTGTATTCTCTGGTTTGGCGATCTATTGGACATGAGACAGCTTCCAAATGCAGGGCAAGATCTGTACGTTAGAGTCTACATCTCCCAAATGGGTATGGGATTTTATTATTTTGTTTTATGTGTAAATTTAGTAATCTTATTCATACAATAGAAAAATCAAAGTTAGATAATGCATGCATGTGATAAATGACTTAGATCGTCTCCATTTCTTTTATCAAAAGCATGGTAATGAAAAAATGAATAGAAAAATAAATATAGAGGATTTTTTCCTTAGTATAAATTACATATGTTGAAATGCTAGCTAATTGTTAATATTTTGTAGAGTTTAATCGTAATATATGTTATTTAACCATAATTCAATATAAATATATAAGGTTATTGACTTTTACAGAATTATTTTTGAAAGTCATATAAATTATAGTTTTTGATTGACTTGTTGTGTAAAACTTTTTTGTGGTAGACAAGATATGATTATTAAACTTTTTTTTTTTCATTAGTGATTTTCTTATGCTTATTCACTTTAATTAATTAGAGTAGCCAAATTTTAAACGGGAAATATTACTAAACTAATCCTGCTTCATATGCTTTTTCATCTATGTACATTGTATTTACTATGTATTTTATTTCCGTCAAGAAAATCAAGATGCAAAAGGTGGTTCAACTTCTAGGAAAGTGGTAGTTGTGGTCACAACAGTTGTTTCATCTGTTATTATTGCGATGGTTGCAATTTTCATGCTCGTTTACTGCAACAGTAAAACCAAATTTAGAGGCAAAGGTAACGTTTCTTAACTTTTAGACTTTTTATTTATTTATTTATATAAAGGTAGGATAAAATTTTGTCAATAATTCTTGAAATGGATATTATTTTTAAAAAATCAGAAATTGGTATTTTTTAAAAAAAATCAGAAATAGAAAAATCTTACTTGTGAAATACGATATCTAAGTGCAGTCGTGTTTCAAAATAAGATTTCTTGGTTTTGTATTTTCAAATTGAAGTTATGATTCAATATACAATTTTGTTGAAATTTTCTGTAAAATTTACGATTTTAAAGTTAAAAAAAAAATAATATCAAAGAAGTTGTGTTTTTAAATAGGTTTACCATTAAAAAAAATGTTTTGAATCAATGTTTTTTTATAAAAAAAAATAAAAAATTGTGATATACAACTTAATTTTTTAAGTCGTGTTACATAAATTCGTTAATTTTAAAAAATTTAAGAATATCCATTTCGTGGATTATTCAAAAATAAAACGATCATTTAGTGAGAAATACCTAACTTGTAGTGCTATACTTTTTTCTATTTCTTTTTATTCTATCGCATCTTATTCTATATTTTTTCTTATACAAAATTGTAAGACTTAACTGTATATATAAAAGTAATTCCTAGTTTACCATTTTTCACCCTCAAGCTATTGTTTTGTGGATATCAAATTTCACCTTATTTAACACACGTTTAATAAAAATGCAGTAACAAGGAGTTTGTATAAATTGCTCTGTATTTTTTTCTCCGGTATGATCATGTGACGGGGTTGATGGGTGAATTTAATTTTATACAAAATTGTTTTTATAGTTTTGTACAATTAAATCATTTAAAGCAAATAGAATAATGTTATATATTTTATAATTAAAGACAAAAGTAAACATAAATGACAACATCAATATATGGCAAGGCTTGTAATGTAACATGGAGTGTTAAATATTTTCATCAATACTGTTTATTTGTGAGCAAACAGATAACATCAAGACAAAAGTTAAAATAGATGAGGACAAAGAAGATTTGGAGCTGCCTTTATTTGACTTTGATACCATAGCATGTGCTACTAATGATTTCTCAAGTGACAACAAGCTTGGACAAGGTGGTTTTGGTCCAGTATATAAAGTAAGTATGCAACATGTTACCTTGTAATTAATGGTTAATAACATAAGATATAACTTAAACTTTTATGTTTGACATTTAACTTTGTATAATGTGATTTTTTCAAAGGGCACATTACCAGATGGACAAGATATTGCAGTCAAAAGGCTTTCACATACATCTACACAAGGATTAACAGAATTTAAGAATGAGGTTATATTTTGTTCTAAACTTCAACATCGGAATCTTGTTAAAGTTCTTGGTTGTTGTATCGAAGAACAAGAGAAATTACTCATTTATGAGTACATGCCCAACAAAAGTCTAGACTTCTTTCTTTTTGGTTAGTGTTTAAACAAAATTGTTAGATATTTCATTTCATTCTTATATTTTATTAATTAATATAAATATCTTAAATATATAATTTTACAGATTATTCTCAAAGCAAACTTCTAGATTGGTCCAAGCGATACAACATTATAAATGGAATTGTCCGGGGATTGCTTTATCTTCACCAAGATTCTAGATTGAGGATCATACATAGAGATTTAAAAACAAGTAATATTTTGCTAGATAATGACATGAATCCAAAAATTTCTGATTTTGGGTTAGCCCGAATGTGTAGAGGTGATCAGGTTGAAGGGAATACAAGTAGAGTTGTTGGTACATAGTAAGTATCTCTGCTTATGATGAAGTACTTGAAAATGAAAACAAATCAAAGCTCAAAATGATTTACTTGTAATGATTTGTTTCAGTGGTTATATGGCACCTGAATATGCAATTGATGGAGTATTTTCTATCAAATCTGATGTCTATAGCTTTGGTATCTTACTACTAGAAGTTTTAAGTGGAAAGAAAAACAAAGGCATTTCCTGTTCTAACGACAACAATAATCTTGTTGGACATGTAAGTAACAAAATTAACTTCAATTCCTAAATATGTGGTTGTTTGTAGTTGTTATGAATTAGTGTTGACATTAGAAAATGTTTGTTAATAATTTTTATGAATATTATTACAGGCATGGAGGTTATGGAAAGAGT